ATGCATTTCCAGTTGTACACAGGATAGTGTATCATGTTAGGCGAAACTATTATGTTATTGTACCATTTGAAAATTAAGTGTGATTTAAGGAGATAGTATGGACACCAAGTTGACAAGGGGTGGACTTGTGAAGGTTAATTCTAGATGTCAACTTGGTTAGATGAAGGAATGCTAAGAAACCTGGTAAAGCTATCTTTTCAGGTGTGTCCATGAGGGTGTTTCCAGCACAGATAAGTATGAGAGTCTGAGTGGACTGGGTGGGAAAGACCCACCCTCAATGTGGGTGGGAACCATCCAATCTGCTGGGAGCCCAGAGAGAACAGAAGGGGTGAGGCTCTCTCTCTAGATCTGCTGGAGCTGGGATACACTTCTCTCCTGTCTGTGAACATCAGAGCTCAAGACTCTTCAGCTTTTGGATTCCAGGACTTACACCAAGGACACCATCAGCTTCCCTGGTTTTGAGGCCTTTGGACTTGGACTGAGCCAAGCTACCAGCATCTAAGTTATAGATGGCCTGTCGTGGAACTATGCTTCATAGTCGCATGAGCTAAGTCCCCTAATAAATCCCTCTCATATGATTGTAACATATCCTTTTGATTTTGTCTCTTTGGAGAACCCTGACTAGTACACTTGGTGAGTGCTAGGCACAATTCCTACCTATAGTTCAATGTTAATAACTTTGTGGGGGTGGTGTTATTCTAATCTCCATTTAGCAGATATGGAAAGTGAGGTGCAGAGTCTTAGTAATATAATTAGAGGGGCCACACTCATGCAACTAGTGGCTTCTGTAGATAATAGGAAAATTCATTGCTGTTCCCTTACATGTTACACTTTCACACAACAAATCACCTAATGACATTTCTCAGAATGTATCCCTGTCATTAAGCAACACGTAACTGTACAAAGGGGAAGGGGGGAAGTAACTTTACAGCAAAGAAGGCTGGTAGATACCACCTTAATCAATGGTCAAATGACCATTGTTAGCAATGGGACAAATCAAAACTGTGTGCCACTAGGTAAAATGCATTAAGAAGATGCATTTCTGTGTTATTCTTGCCCAAAACACAATATGAATGTAATAATCAGGAACTATCAGTCAAACCAGATTGAGGAATATGCGACTAAATAATGGGCCTGCAATGTTCAAGAGTGTCAAGGTCAACAGACAGATCTCCAAGATAAATTGCTGAGAAAAGCATGGTACAGAATAATTTATGTAATAGGCTGCCTCTGCGTTAAAAAAAAGAGGGAGGAGATTATCAATCTATCCATTTATTTGTAAGCATACATATACCGGAGGATTCCTAAGATACTAAGTACACTGGTTAGCTATGGGTGTAGGGGGAACTGTGCAGGAAGCAGACAAGGATGGGGCTTTTCACTGTGTACTTTTTCTTACCTTTTTTTTTTGTTCAGGTGAAATTCATATAAACATTAACCATTTAAAAGTATACAATTCAGTGGCATTTCATACTATATTCACAATGTCGTTGCAATCCCCTCCTCCATCTAGTTCTAAAACATTTTCATCACCTCAAAAGGAAATTCTGTAATCAGTCACTCCATCCCTGCCTCCCCACCTCCCTGTCCCCAATCCCTGGAAACTGCTTATCCACTAATCTGCTTTCTTTCTTTTTGTTTTTGGTGGCTAGCCTGTATGGGGATCTGAACCCTTGACCTTGGTGTTACAACACCATGCTCTAACTGACTAAGTTAACCGGCCATCCCCTAATCTGCTTTCTGTCTGTAGATTTGTCATTCTGGATATTTTATATAAATGGAATTACATAATACAGTATGTGGCCTTTGGCTTATTTCACTAAGCATAATGGTTTTGAGGTTCATCTATGTTGTAGCATGTATCAGTACTTCATTCCTTTCTATTGCTGAATAATATTCCGTTGTATGGATATACCATATTTTGTTTACCTGTTCATGAGTTGATGGATATTTGGGTTGTTTCTATTGAGTTGTGGCTATTGTGAACAGTGCTGCTGTGAACATTCATGTACAAGTAATATTCATCTGTACTGTAGGATATAACAGTATTTCACTCCTTTTAATGGCTGAGTAATATTCCATTGTATATATATACCATATTTGGTTTATCTCTGCTTCCGTTGGTGGACATTTGGGTTGTTTCCACCTTTTAGCTATTGTGAGTAGTGTGCTATGAACATTCATATTCAAGTATATGTTTGAGTACCTGTTTTCAATTCTTTGGATATATGTAGGAGTGGAATTGCTGGGTTGTATCGTAATTCTCTCCCTATCTTTTTGAGGAACTACCACTGTTTTCCTGCAGCTGCACCATTTTACATTCCCAACAGCTATGTATGAAGATTCAGATTTCTTCACATTCTCACCAACATTTGTTATTTTCCATTTTTGTTTTAATTATAGCCATCCCAGTGGGCATAAAGTGGTACCTCATTGTGGTTTAGATTCGAATTTTTCAAATGGCTAATGATGCTGAACATCTTTTCATGTGCTTATTAGTCATTTGTATATCTTCTTTGGAGAAATATCTATTCAAGTCCTGTATACCTTTTTATATATTTTATTTTTGGAAACTTCGAATGTATTGCCTAACTAAAACTTAAACTAGAAATTTAAAAAAAAAAACAGTCACTTGTTCTGGATCTCATTTTCTTCATTTATACAATAAAGATATTGGACTAGAACAGAGTTTTCAAACTTGTTACCACTGACATTTGGGGCGAATTAATTCTTATTGCGAGAGTTGTCCCGTGTATTGTAGACTAGTTAGCGGCATCCCTGGGACCATCTACTAGATGCCAGTAGTAACCTCCTTCTCCCCAGTTGTGACAACCAAAACTGTCTCCTGACATCGCCAAATGCCCCCTGCGGGGCACAATCGCCTCTGGTTGAGAACCACTGTAGATCAATGGTTTATAAACACAGAGCCCTGAGCCTGGATCACTTTGCAGGTAGTATTGAGGCTTTGCAAACTGTTTTCATTATTAACAAACAAAACAAGTAACATATTGTACATTTATCTTAATGAAGGCTGTGTAGACTGATTTAAACCTCATGCTTTTGACTGTAATGAAATCAACTCAAAATATGAATACTGGTTGATTATCATGGATCAGAAGCTCCAATTGACATTTATTATTTATTTATCTGATTTGTAAAAAGGGGAAAGCAAATTGTCAATAATTGGTCATTTTTAGTTTTGTAAATTGTTGATTTAATTTGGGGCAAGGGTAGATAATCAAGGAATCCCGTGAGGGTAAAAAGACTAAGAACCATTCAACTAGGTGACCAGCATTACTGACTTTAAACACTGTTCAGTACTTTGCCATATTTCCACAGGGTGGCAGTAGTGAGTTTTGAGTAAAATTTCAGATTGACACTCAGGCACTTCAGTGCAAATGAGGACTTCATTGTTCTCAAAACACAGAGCAAAACCAAACAAAACGCCATGGAATTTCTCCCACAGTTTTCTGTGCCATACAATCTCCCCCCACCTCCTTCATCCCTCAAATGTCTCCATTGAATCCAATTTTTAAAATAAAGCTTGTTATTTTATCTCTTCTTCTGTTACCCTGTCTCCAGTGGTAACTCAGCTCTCCCCTCCTACAAAACAAAATGAAGATCTGGACATATTACTCCGATGCTCAACAACCTCTGTTGGTTACCCATTACTAGCAGCCTAAAACAGACTCCTTCATCTCTTTGCATTCTGTTTCACCAACCACGAAGCCTGCCCTAGAACCACAGTCCATGCTCTTTTCATTACTTCATGTACTTACACAGGATATTTTCTCCAGCTAGAAATCCCTTCCCTTGTGTGCTTTGTCTGATAAATTTTTCCTCATCTTATCTCCATGGTCCAACTCAAATGGGTACTTTCTATCTAAAGCTCTGTCTGACTTTGCCAGGTCGTTAGTTTTGTCAGGGGTCTACATCATCTATCCTGTTTTAACACTAACTGTGTTCTATTTTAGAGAAAAATGATTTTGCTCATTAACTCATTTCTTGCTACTACTAGTCAATCCCTATCACATAATAGCAAATTTCTTGAGTGAATAAATAAAAAACTGAATTGATAGACTTGGGCTTTAAAAATTTGTACCAATTTGAACATTCTAAATATATATAGTGAAGCCAAAAACAAAGGGAAAGCAGGGTGTCCACCCTTCTTACTCGAAGAACAGAATAAACTGAGCAGCAGAGTATTGTAAATGGAATTAATTGCTTTTATGGAGGCAGGGTAGTGTAATGGAGTGTTTACAATTTTGTCTATTACTAAATTTAGTAAGTACTTTGTGTTCTTTTGATGTCTTTTGAAACCATTACTAGATAAAACAATTTCTATTCACAGTAACATGAAATGAAGCTGAAAATTTTAATCTATAATTAGCTAACCCTATTGTTATTGAACTGGCCCCCTTTTATGTCAGATTTTTCCCCCCTTTGGTAAGGAGATCCTAATTACTTAAGAACCATTTATTGTCTGCACCATTAATTTGGAACTTACTGTCTACAGCTTTGAGAATTGTTATCTTCATTTGTGTACGTAATAATCCCCTAACTTCCCTGTAAGATATGAGTGGTGAGCATATTTAGATTTTTAAAATTTCTTTAGTAATCTAGTTTATTGTCTTATGCATTTATTGTTTATTTGTTTTTCTCTCTTTTACATTCTATTACAGACCATTGCTCAGTATATTAAATTCCCTGTAGCTTTACAAATAGACATTTATTTTCACTCATGTAAAGTCTAAAAGGGTGTTTCTATTCAACATGCTGCTCTTCTCCAAATGGCGACAAGAGACCAAGTTTCTTTTTTTTTTTTTTTTTTTTTTTTTTTTTTTTTTTTTTTTTTTTTTTTTTTTTTTAAAA